CGTATCCAAACCATATTTTTAGTGATACGGAATTGTGCATTTTTCCGTATCCTATTATGATACGTTATTTCTAAGGAAAAAAAATCGTATAAAAACTTTATAAAAAACGTATCCAATTTTTTTATAGGGATAGTAATGTTAGTAAATTTGTATTAATATTAATTAATACTAATCAAATAATTCAAAATTATATTGGATAAATTAAGATACTGTACGTTACTGCGCCGCTGCATTTTTAAAATTAAGTGTTTAATTGGAAATTTATAAAATTTATATAATTTTTTTTTTAAAAAAAAACTTTGGGTTTTGACTATCAAGAAATTTAACTGTCAGTATTTGTGACTATCAGGATTTTGTTTCAACCAGAATTTGGGCTTATCGAGATTTTTGTGTCGAGAACGTAGACTGTCGATATCATGGTTATGGCAATCCCGTGCCATATTATATAAGATTTGCAACCAAAAAGAAAAATTATAAAAATTACTTGCAAGGACACATTCCAAATTACCTCGGTTCGTCTATTGCATAATTAATCATCATAAAATTCTTTAATTAGTTATTCAATAAAATTTTAAATAAGCAATACTATCATTAAAATAAATATTTCAAACCATTTTAATTTATAAAAACTTAAGTCACTAAGTTGTAGTAATAAATCCTTTTATTTTCAACAAATAATAGTAAATATACCCATCATTATAAATTGTATTCTCAATAAATTCATCAATATCATTATTCCAACTGGTTCATCCTTCAAGACCTTATTGTGTAAGGTGGATCGGACTAACATTATGAATATGTCAAATTTGTAAGAAAGGAGTTTCATGTTTGTTTAGTTTTAATTAGCGTGCTTATTAATATATATTGATTATTCGTTGATTCAATGAAAGATCAATGAGAATAAAAAAGGAAAATCAATTTTCTATATCACAAACATTTTAAACAAGACCTTTTTAAGTTAAATAATTATTATATAGATATTAGCTTTTTTTTGTGGCAAAATTTGCAAATTTGTTAAAAAAAAATTTTTCAAGTATTGATAAACTCATAATATAATGAAAGAGAAAATATATTTATGTAGTGAACTATGTGAATGGACGATCTACATCATGTTAAACGGTCAGTTTATTGCGAAAAAAGGAGTCAAATGACGAATTATAAGAAGTAATTTTTTAAGATTAAAAATTTTTGATAATCGCAATTTGTATTATGATTATAACTTTTATAGTGTTAGCGATTGTTTTACACATTCTAATAAAGAAAAACGTAAGAAAAAAATAATATAAAAAAATTAATGGAAAAAATTAGCAAAATAAAAAAATAAATTGAATAAACAGAAATAGTAAATAATAATTATTGTACTAATAAATTTATAACGTTAAAATTGAGTTTTCTTATAGCAAACTTCAAAAAAAAAAAAAATTTTTTAAATATTAAGAATAATAAGAATTATTTTTAATGCTTAAATTCTTATAGGCATTAAAATGAGTATATCTTATTAATTGACCAATAAAATTAATAATATAAACGTATATAAAGCGGACGTGACAGTCGTGACACACATGTCGTATATAAGTTAAACTTTTTATGAAAGTTAAACATTCGACTTTTGATTATTTAGATAGTCATTAGTCATCCTTAAAAAAGAAATATTATGAATATTTTTTATATTACAATTTTAACATATCTGATATATAATGTTATTTTATTCTTCTATCAATCCCAAATTTTATAATTAAATTTGTCTAATATATACTTTAAAATAGTTACAGTATTTACGATCATCGTTATTTGTTAAATGATCCTGCGTCTTCAGACAAATAATTATTTTTTTTTTCTTTTGAAATCCTTTAAATAAATGGTAAAGTTGGATTAATTAATTTAAAAATTTAAAATCAAAAAATCAAAGTTTAAATAAAAAATTATCGTACTTTTTGTCAAAATTAAATTTTTTGATGCATCGGAAAAAAATTTTCCTTAGCAATGAAAATCGCAAAATCATTTGACTAGACTAATTAGGTTTGAGCACAGGAGTACAGACGCAGTCATTGTTACACATGGTTGACTTTATAAGTAGACCGTTCCGAAATTTTTTTTTTTTTAAATTTAAATTTAAAAAAATTTGCAATAAAATATTTCATCATGTCTGTTATTAGAGAAGATTTAATTTATACTACACTTAATAAAGCACGTGCACTAACGGATCATAATATTTACAATGATTTTCACAAACAAACTGAATTTTGTAAACAAACAATTCTTGCTGATGAATCACTTACAAAAGATGAAAAATCTGAAGCAATAAGAATTTTGACTGCAACTTATGATAGAGGCAAACTTGTTTATAATGAAGGAATAAGAGGAGTTTGTGAAATTTGTAACCAAAAATGTTTAGCTACATTATATTGTGAATATTGTGTTCGAAATTATTTAAAAAATAATTTTTCAAATTTGGACATCTGGAAATGATGTTATTGATAATTTAATACAAGAATGTCAGATGAAAACACTTGACCCGAATGTCATAGTTGAATGGATTCCATATAATAATTTAAAAAGTATTAAATATTTAACAAAAGGTGGATATTCTGAAATTTATACAACAGAATGGGTTGATGGAGGTTATGATGAATGGGATTCTAATTAACAACAATTAAAAAGATTGGAGAATTGTAGTGTGGTACTTAAAAGACTAGAAAATGTTGAAGGTGCAAATAAACGTTGGTTTGAAGAGGTTTGTAATCTAAAAATGGTATAGTAATTTTTCATTCAAGATATTTTATAATACTTACTTTATTTTATAGGCTAATTCGCATTTAAATATATGTAATAAATTGTCAGATGCGATTGTCCAATGTTATGGTTTAACAAAAGATCCATTAAATGGAGATTATATGCTTTTAATGAATAAATTGGATACAGATTTAAGAAAATATTTACAACAAAATCATAATCAACTTACATGGAAAGAAAGAATTCAAATTGCTGCTGACATAATATTAGCACTTTCACGAGTCCATAATGAGAATGCAATTCATAGGGATTTGCATTCTGGAAATATACTATTTAGAACTAAATTTAATATTAGTGATCTTGGATTTTGTGGACCTGCAGATAAACCATTAAAGAGTGAATATGGAAATCTTCCTTACATTGCACCAGAAGTTATTGCAGGAAAAGTAACTACTTTTAAATCTGATATTTATAGTATTGGCATACTTATGTGGGAAATTTCATCTGGACAACCACCATTTATTAATTACGAACATAATTATGATCTTGCTATGTATATTATTAATGGTATAAGACCAAAAATTGTATCAGGAACTCCTTTAGAATATAAAAATTTAATGGAACAATGTTGGGATGCTAATCCATCGAATAGACCAGACATTGGAATACTTAGGAAAAGAATAAGAGAACTTAATTTAGACTACCAAAATAAATCAAATGAATTATTAACCCAACTGGATGAAGATAATAGTTTGGAAATAGGTGATTTAGAAAACTATACAAATAGTAGCAGATTATTTACGAGTAAAGTTCATCAATTTAAAAATCTCCCTGAACCAAGAAATGCAACAGAAGGTATTATTGAAATTTGTTATTTGATTTTTAATATATGGTTGATATCAATAATTAAAATCTTACCTTTTTAATTAAATAATAATGCAGAAGAACAAGAAGGTATAAATTAACATACAATTTTATATATATTTTTTTATTTTAAATAATTAAATAATAAATTATTTTCTTTTATTAGCATTTCACAGTAATAAATCATACAACTTTCATATTCCCAATTACAGTAAGTTTATTAGATTTATGTTAATATAATAAGATACTTTATTTGATTTATTTTTATTTATTAGTTGATGATTTTGATAAGTTGAATAATCAGAAGAATAATTCAAAAATAATTAGCATTTTTAAAGGTAATTTATAAAACATATTTAATTATTATTTCCTTTAGTAGATAATCAAACAAATTAATATTTATATTTTAAACTTTTTAGTTGGTAGTAAAAAATTATCCAAAATATTCAAAAGGAATTCAAAAAATGGTAAGTATAATGTTTAATATTATCTATTTAATTGTTTAAAAATTGAACATAACGTTATTTTAATTTTTAGTTATTCAAGAATCAATGCAACAACAAATAAAAAAATATCATGATGATATTGACGGTATTTAATATAATTATTTAAACTGATTATAATAATTATAATAATAATTAATTTAATACTTTCTAAATAATTATTTTATTTGTAGATGATGATGAAATACATAATAATCCAAATCTTCATTCGGAAGAACAAGATGAATTGGAACTTCCGGATAGTAAGGATTCTTTATTTTTAAATTTGAAATTTTTAATTAATTTAAAAAATCACTACTAAAGTCTTTTTTTAATAAATTTTTAGATATAGATAATTAATCATGATAACGTTATCTGCTACGTAATATTATTATTACACAAAGTATTTTTATATAAATTATTTAAACACTAGGACTAGAGTAGTAAAATTAAATATTTCTTAGTTTGTAATTTAAATAATTTATTTTTTATTTTTATTTTTTATATTATAGCTTATCAATAAATTATTTTATAAATAAAATTATTCAATTATATATTATGATTAGAACTAGTAATCTTCTTTGTTTACTGAAGATAGCTAATGGGAGCTTAATAATTTTTTATTACTTTATTTCTGTGTGTATGTTATTACAAAAAACAAAAGTAATGTAACTAGAATCGTAAAAAATGGGTGGAATATTTTGGTTATCTTTTCTTTTTCCGAAGTGATGATGTATTTTTTGATGTCGTAAGATAATATCCCGATGGATTGAAATGACCAACTGTTTTTCATGGACTATTTGTTTGCCCATATCTGTAATTCTGTATCGTGACATGTATTAGTTATTTCATTCAACTTATTATTTAGTCAAATGATAGTCTATCAGGTGATTTTTGGTATTACAAACACAATTTTGGGCAACGAAAAATCCGCCGATATGATATTTTGTTATTATATTATGTATAGTAGTTTTACCATAGCCTGTTTCTTCTGAAATGGTTCGTAGTGACTTTGTACAGAGTCACCAGCTTCGTAAAAACCAATAACTTTTCCACACTCAAAATCCGTTAGTTGCGTTTAAATAAAGCCAAAATTTGGTGTAATAAACATTACTAATCTATGACATCATAAATAGTTTTTGTGCCAGGTTCGTGGCACAGCCAGCAGATTGTGGCGCAACGAAAATCATAATTTTTTTAAAAACAGATAACATATAACTTCAAAAATTACTAGATAGTTGTAATTTTGGCTGCTCTCCAAATTTACTTGGAGCGACAAAGGTGATTTTAAATATCATTATTGACTTATTTAACAAAAGTTTTTCTTTCACGAAATCCATTTTTGGAAATGATCGACAAAGACGATAGAATCAATCATTTATATGTAAAGTCAAAATCGGCATTCATAACCTTCTCCCGAATACTTGCAAAGCAAGTGAAATTACATCTACAATGTAAGTTTAAAAACTTTATGTCAAAGAAAAAATCCTTAATGATGTTTTTTTTAAAAATTTTCTGCGCCACGAACCTGGCACACAAAAAAGGGGTGCGTTTTAGTTTAAATCACACAAATACATAATCATTACTGTTTAGGTTATGTTTATGCAGATCTTGATGGTACTATATTTTGATAATTTACTTAATTTGGTCGGTGTAATGAATTTTTTTCTTGTAATAAAAAATATGGTACTGTTTAGATTATGTTTATGCAGATCTTGATTGTAATTATAATTTTACTTAATTCGGTCAGTATAATAAAATTTTTTCTTGCTTCTTTTTGTAATAAAAAAATATGGAAGGAAGTTCAAGTCAGGTAAATTATTATTTTAAACAATATTAAAATTTAATTAATTGCATATCATTAAAACTAACTTTATATAATAATAGAGTGGAAATTCTTCTATTAATACTGCTTCTGGTAGCTTAGAAAATAATGACCCTATTTCATATAAAACGATTTTGTATAAAAATATTCTCAATAATCATATCCTTCTCAAATTAGAAGAGGATGGATTCACTATGCCAGATGATAAAGTAGAAGAACTTTTAAAAAATCTAACTAAACCAAGTTATTTGTATGCACTTAAATTACTTTTTGAAAATTTACAAAATGAATTTTCATCTCAATCATTAATAAATTCATTAGAAACTCTAATTGATTCCACATCTTTTAATTATTATTCAAAAGAAAGCATGGCTAGACTAGAATTACATTTAAGGACTTGGGTTACAGTCTTAGAAAGAATTTGTTTTTCACCAATAGTACTTAGTAAAGTACTTCGAGATAAAGTTTATAATTCTTTAGCAAATTTTGCAGAAATTCACCGTAAAACAACTCAAGTTATCGAAATAGGACTTGATAATAATTTTAGACCAAATTTCAATCAATTCAATCAACAAAACAATAATCAAGATGAACAAATTATTAAAAAACGTAATTATAATATTGATTTTTTATTAATCCATTTGCGAGATACTCTTCATAGTCTACGTGATGATGAAACTTGGTTTCAAGAAATTATACGAAGGACTAAAGATTTTCTTAAAGCTGCATTAAATATTACACCAGGAATTTTATCAATAACAGGAGTTTCTCTTCCAAATGATAATTGTTCAATCTTATCATTACTTAATCAAGTACGTCAGAGTTTAAGTTTTAAATATCCAGTAGCATCTTATTATGTAGATTGGAGAATTATGTTAATAATTCAACATAATCTTTTCATTTGGTCTGAAAGTGAAAAGATTATAAGTAAAAAATTTGGAGAATTAGTAATAATGGAATATATTTGGAGCTTTTTGGAAAGAGAATGGGTTAATTCTGTGGACAAATCTATTTTAGATTCTCAAACAAAATTTGATGAAGTATCAAATAAAGTCGTTAAAGCTTTGAAAAATACTGGAGGCTTTTTAAATGAACTTGCTGGAAATGAACCTATAGCATTACCAGATACTCTGTGGTTTGGAATATTAGATCTTGCACAAAATCTTATCCAAAGATCATCTCGAACAGCAACATATGGTCTTTGTTATTATTTAGCAATTGAATCACTTAATAAAGCACAAAGCAGTTTTATTCAATTTAAATCTATTGAATTATTATTAAATTTATATGATATTGATAATAAAATGTTTTCAATGATCGAAATTGATTTTGATCAATACACGCAAAAATTAAGTGAAAATAATTTGGAAGATTCTTTAGAAAAATTTCAAAATTTATTAACTTTTGTTAAGGGGAAATACCTTGAAGATTTAAAAATTCTAAGTAATAATACTGGAAAAGGAAAAGAGGGAAAAGGAAAAAACTTAAATCAAAATTTATATTTTAAGAAAGAACAAATATCAAATTCTAACATTTTAAATGTTATAGCAGATGAAATTACTTGTCCAATTAGTAGTGAACCAATGGATCAATTATGTATTTTAAAATGCCAACATATGTTAGCATTAAGCAATTTAAAAAAATTGAAGCAAAAAATATGTCCTAATTGTCGAGAAAAAATTGAAGATAATGATATTAGATATTTATCACAAAATTCAATTTATAAAAATTTATATACAAAATTTTTTGAATCTGGACATATTTTACCTTCAATTGAATTAGAAAATTCTGATCAATTATATGACAGTGATGAATCAGATAATTCGGAAGTTGAACTCATATTAACTAAAAAAAAGAAATTTATGAATTCAATTATTAAATTAAATTCAAAAATATCATCTCCAATATTTTCAAGAACTACAAAAAAACAACATCCAACATACCAAAATATTATAAAAGAAATAAATGAAAAAAATTATGAAAAAGCTGAATCTTTATGCAAAGAGTTTATAAATTTTTTTCCTAAAAGTTATTCTTTAAGATGTATTTTAGCGTATATTTATAGATGTCTTAACAAATACGAACAAGCTCACTTATTTTTAAAAGAAGCTATTGATTTAAATCCCAAAAGACCAGTTGCTTATTTTATTTGTGGAGAAATATTTTTTAGACAAAATGATTATGATGAAGTAATATATAATTTAAAAAAGTCAATAAATTATAAAGCAAAAATAAATAACTCATATATATTATTCGGAAATAGTTACTTATTACGTAAGAAACGTGATCGTTATAATTATGATGATTATACAGTTGCTATAGAAAATTATAATATTGCATTAAAAAATGATCCAAATAATTATTTATGCCTTAAAAATTGTGCATACAGTTATGAAAAAGAAGGAGATTATTTAAGTACATTAAATTTATTAGATAAATTATTAAATATCAATGAGGAGGATTCTTTGGTTTTATGTTATTATGGAGAAATTTTATATAATATGACAGAATATAGAAAAGCTATATCATACTTTACAAAAGCTTATACTATAGATCCAGAAAACATTCATAAATTGAATAGGAGAGCTATTACATACTATATTATTAAGGAATATGATAAAGTATTATCAGATCTTGATAAAATTATACAATTAGATCCATTAAATAGTTCAGCATATTTTCTTAAATGTTTAACGTATTATACAAAGAATGATAATAACAATGCTAAAGTATCATTTAAAAAGTATGCAGAATTATTGAATTCTGATAATATTTTAGCAAAGATTCAGTTATTTCATCTAGAATACTTACTAAATAAAAATAGTTCTAAAGATTTAAACGATATATTAACAAAAATCGATCAAATTCTTGATTTTAAAGATTATAATCTTTTTGTTGGAGATAAATTATATAAATTACTATATTTTATTAAGTACAAAATTTATATTGAATTAAAAGAGTATAGTAAAGCAAGACTAGCTTTAAATGATATATCAGACTATGAATTTGAATCTATTAGTTATTTTATACAAGATCATCCAGATTTTTGTTCATATTTATATGAAGTTTGTGAAATTAACAAAAATGATTTTACCAGATTTGGAATTGTCGATGATTTTAGTAAATATATGTATCAAGGTAAGAAAATATTCAAAATATTTATTATCTTCTAGTTAAGATAATGATAATTAATATCTTAAACTCATTAGAAAGAAAAGTATATTTTGTTTCAAATCTTACAAATTTGAATAGCGAACTTTGTCAATTTCAAGAAAGTGATATAAGCAGGTAAAGTCTACTCATAATAATACTTTAAGTCAAATTGTCTTATATACAAATTAATCATAATTTTAAAATTAAAGTTTATCAGGGCTGGTAATGTCTTCTAAAAATGAAAATCTTCATTTGGTTTTGCCTAAACAAAAAATTTATCATGGTGATTATCTCATTTGTAAAATGAATGTTAAAAAAATATTATCCAAGGATTGCTTTATAAAATTTATATTCAATGACGTAAGTTAATTAATTAAAATCCCTGTTATTTTATTTAATTTTAAATTAATATTAACTTAATTATAGGATTATCGAGAAAATTATATATTAAAACATAAAGATGTATCAAAACTTGAGGGGTTAGGTTGGATAGAATATCGGACTTCAATACTTTACCTACGTTATGCTCAACTTTCAATTGAAAT